CAGGATCCTTTTGTCAATGTGTGTATATACATGTGTATCTATGTGTATCCTCGTGTGTTTTGATTCTCCTCTCACACCAGTTACACACAAACACACACATTTACCTGTGTCAAGCTGGTGTAAGTTAGCTGAGAATCAAGCTAGCTGGAGATATGGGGGCATACAAACTTGTCAGAATAAAGGGAGCTAATTCATTAAACTAATCAAGTGATACTACTCCAAATTTCTCAGGAAGTGTTTGTAAAGAAAACCTTAGAATAAACTCAGACATTTATTTACTATAGAGGAACAAACCTACAGATGAGGAGAGAGAGAAAGTGAGTCATCTGCAGAGGGTTGCAATCCACAGACTGAAATTGACTTTAAATAATTATGTAGTTCTGTTAATTATCCATCTCCCCAGCCAGAACTCATGGGGAAAAAAGGTGCACACACACAGTAGCAATGCATCTGATAATTTGCCTACAGAATACAAACGTGTTCTGATAGTCCAAAATTCTAATCACTGCAGCTCCCATTGACTTCAATGGAAGTGTTGAGTGCTCAGCTGCTCTGAAGCTCAGTGCCAGATTTCATCCCGAAGGATCTCGCAGCATGTCTGTGTTCAGATACATAGACGAGGAATCATTTTACTACTATGGGGGAGGATACATTTTTGACCAAGGACAGTGAGACGAGGAAGAGTGCTGTCAGGCACAGAAGCAGTCCTATACTCAGGTTTTAGCTCTCATCCTCAATATCCTCACATGGTAAATGGTACTGAACTTTAATGTATCTATAGCAACTCAGAATAATGAAGGTCTGCTTCAATTTGAGCCATTTGGTTCCAGGGAGTGTTGGTATTCCGAAACCTGATGCTTAGCTGATCTAGTGTAGTCATCTAACAGAGAGATCTAAAGCATCACCGGACAAAATAACCCAGTGGGCTCTACCTATATCATAAATAAGCAGATCACTAAATTGTTTCTCTAGAATGTTAATATGGTATTCTGTTAAACTGTCTAGCTATTCTATTACATTTTACAAAAATTATAACTTTCAGAAAATGATACCTCTTTGAATTACTTGTGAATTCCTTTGAATATCTTCTAGTTGTCAGGCATCATGTGAAAGCCTACAAGTCAAAATTAAAGACGTGAAAGTGCCTAAAGTGGATGATGCACATTACAGCTAATGCTGTAATTGCTGTTAGTGTAAGAGCTTTTTCATGGCTTTTTTGCCTTAAAAAAATCTTAACAGAAGATCCTATTAGTAATAGGAATTTTTAAAATTATAACAGAAAAAATATAGAATTCAAGCCATGAAAACCAAATCAAGTGAGGTATTTGGCACATGAATTATTGCGAAATAAATAGTGAGGACAGGAAGCATAATAATACTTAGTATTCCTGAAAAACCCTGGCTTTCAGTTGTATGCCCAGACAACACTAGAATATGCCTCTCACTCTGTGCCCCTCCTGCTTTGCCTGTGGTGTATGGAATAGCATGCAGATTTATATTCCTTGCATCTGCCCCATGTTAAAGCTGTCTGACATACACTTTCAGCTTGTTGATCATATTACCAATAAGTGTGAGAAGGAAGTGAGCACTACTCAGTAGTGTCTTCAGCACAGTCATGGTCATTGGAAGTATTTTCCACTGGGGTGGTAATTCCAGAGATCCAGATAAGCTCTCGGTGGGTAGGAAACGGCATGTTAACAAATACATCACCCATTTTTCCTGGAGGTTAGCAGAAAACCTCATTATAGTGAGGTGCACTTGAATCCCTCTGCTACTGTTGTGAAGTTGATTCCCTGGCACGACCCTGACTGAGAGAATTCAACTTCAATAGGCATTCTGTACCTGGAGCTTCTACAACTCAGGGCCACTGGGGAGGAACCAGAAGCTGGCTTTTGGGCTTTTCTGTCCAGGACTGTTCCTCAGTTCCCCACTGACAGTCACACTATAAACAGCCACTACATGTTTTGCATCCTTGCCCATATGGAAGTAATGGTCCTGATTACATCATCTCAGCTCCCTTGTTGCAGCATTTCTCTCCTAAGCACTAAATAATAATATTACCACCTCTCTCTTATATAGTACTTTTCATCTGTATATCACAAAGGTGGTCAGTATTCCTATCTCTATTTTACAGATAGGGAAACTGAGGCATGGTGAGGCTAAGGCCCAGATTTCTAAAGGTATTTAGACATTGCTGCACTCAGCCTTGCAATGCCTAACTGATTTAGGAGCCTAAATATAATTTAAAAAGAGATTTAAGCACCAAAGGAGCCAAAATCCCATTGCTTGCTGATGGGATTTAGGCTCCTATGTGTCTAAATCCCTTTTGAAAATAAGATTTAGGCACCTAAATCAGGCACTGCAATGCTGAGTACAGTGATGTCTAAACAGCTTTCAAAATCGGGCCAGACTGAATTGCCTAAAGTCACTCAGCCGGCTAGTGGCAGAGACAAGAATAGAATCCAGATCTCCTGAGACCCGGTCCAGTGCACTCCCTGTATTACAACAGACATTTTAAAATAAGATGCTGTAGCAAACAGCCCATGGTGCATTTGGAAAGCCAGCATGTTCAATTTCCTCTCTTTCTTGGAAATTCCTACTTTGGACTAAGGAAATGAGGCACGATCTCTTTTATCCAGATTTCAGTAACTAATATTAGGTATTCACTTCTGGTTTTGTCAAGTCTGAGGTAGATCTAGCTTTTGGAGATGGAAAATGCCACCACTGAGAGAGCTTCTCTCCAGTTTTTTGGGATCCTCTATGTTTATAAGACGGTCCTGAAATTAATGGGTGACTGGAGGTTTGCTGTTGTCTGACTGCACTGAAAGGGGCTCTGCCTAAGGTAAAGGTTATTCTGGTGTTGGCTGTTCAAACTTTCTCCTTTCTCCCACCCACTATCTGGGATCTGAGATGGAAGGGAAAACAAAAATCCATGGGCCTTCCTTCTGAGCCTGTTTTGGGTAGAGGGAAGACAGAGTAAAGAATCAGGGTAAAAGATGGAGGAGAGGTTGAATAGAGCCATGTGTGGGAAAGGGGAGATTGGGAGAATGAGTGTCCTAGGAGTAAAATTGGCCCTGGTTCTAAGGAAAAGGGAGAGATTATTCATTTCCCCCCCTCCTTTTTTGTGGGATTGTGTGAGCCTGACCTGGAGGAGGTCAGCACTCTTCAGGGGAGGCCCACCGCACAGTTTGGCAAACACTGCCTGGTGATTACTCACAGAGAAGTGATGCATTCCTTTAGTGCTGCTCAGGCACTATCCCCCCACCCCCCAACTTGAATTTAGAAGAGAATATGGGGGAAGAGGTGAAATAAAGCCATGACCCAAAGTCATTTTGTTAGTGAAAATGTACTAATGGGTGAACATCACAATTTACAGCAGATTCTGCAAACCCCAACCTTCAGTGAATACCTCTCATTCACACCAGTAGGCCCGATGAATTCAATAGGGCTTTTTGCATGGGTGAGTGCTATTCAGCAGGAGTCGGGGCTGCAGTTTCTGGCCCTTTATAATTGACATTACTTTTGGTTTATAGTGCACACAGTTGTGAATCCAGTTCTGAATGTCTTACAGGAAAACAAGGTTTGCATTTGTCAGTAAAGATTTAATTAGTGGCTTTCCCCGGTTCTTGCAAGGAAGGCAGTGGATTAAGCAAGCAGAACATTATTGTGCATGGATATCAACATCAAGAAACAGTTTCACACAGTTACTCTTGGCAGAGAGTTGCACAGCTTAAAATCAATGTTTCATGGTTCTTATTTTCAATCAGTACAAGTCCACACGTTTTGTCAATTCAAGCAAATATAAAAAAAATTCCCAGGGATGGACTAGCGTACAGCTGTGCTGGGTTCTGGTGCTGCCAGTGTTCCCAGCTGCTGCTGCATCAGAGTATTTATTCCAAAATAATGCCGTAAGAATAATATAAAAACCAAACACCGCACGATAGTTAGTGTAACAGGCCCCAGTTCAGCAAAGCACTTAAGCAGCTATTTAAATTTTAGCGCATTTAAATCCATCCATAGTCAGCAAATCACTTAGGGACGTGTTTAAGTACTTTGGTGAATTGGGTCGATAATGCTTGTATGTCGGGGATTTTTGGAGCAGCAGGAAGAAAGTGAGCCTGATTCATCACTACCTAGCATCTTGTAGTCATTTACTCCTGTGAAAAGTGGGTGTAAAAGGCCACTGTGTCAGAATGGTAGCCTCTGTGCACAGATATCAATGACTACAGCAGGTGCAAAACAGGGCAGAATCAGACCACATGTTGTCTCAGTTCCTGACAGTAACTATCTGCCTGTGATTGTGAAAGAATGATTGGCCAAATTCAGACTGATGTAAGTGGTTGCCAGTTCTGAATTTGACCCTAATGTAATCCAACTTTCCAGGCAAAAATATACCTCAGGGAAACTGGAAGATTATATTTTTTTCTGTTTATGCACAAATATGGATTTAGGATAAAGTTTCTGGTAATGAAACACATGATATTAATATGAATGACTAGTTATTCATACACTATGTATGTACAGTCATGATTAAGTCTGGATACAGCTGCCGAGAAGCTAAAGTACAGCCAGTGTTAAGCAGGTAGCTGCTAGGCACCAGGGACTGCTTTTTTACAATACTGATTATTTATTATGCCCGGTGGGATATCTGCACTTTGACTGGCTTCCCTGTAGTACAGAACTGACAACATTACTATTTGCAAACACAGGCTTCACTCAAGTGGCACTAAAAAGAGAAGAGGTGGGGCAAGCACAGCTTTAAAAAGGAATGGGGAGTCATTCCCAGTTTGTATATAAAGAGAAACTATGTTTTAGGAGGGATAATACCTATAGATAGCTACCCCCAAACTCATTTAAGGTCCGTGGTGGGCACTTTCACAGCTTTTCTGTTTTTAAGATTTATTCCACAGCTTTGCTTGTTGCAAGGAAATTTGCAGTGATCCTCGTGAGCTTTGCTTTTAAGCTGTGTTAAATTTGTGGCAAGGGTGTCAGGCATTTCACAGCTTTTCTGTTTTTAAGATTTATTCCACAGCTTTGCTTGTTGCAAGGAAATTTGCAGTGATCCTCGTGAGCTTTGCTTTTAAGCTGTGTTAAATTTGTGGCAAGGGTGTCAGGCATTTCATACTTGACTTAAGAAAAAAAAAGAAAGAGAGAGAGAGAGAGAGAGAGGAAACGTGTGTGTGGAAGAAATCTTGCTGGAATTTCCTCAAAGGTTGTAGTAGGGACTGAAGTGACAAGAAAAGCAAGACAGGGATAAAAAACTGTGGGGGATTGTGAAAAGATGTCCCATTGCATAAAGCTGGCTGTTGTAGAAACACTCTGGGAATACACATGTTCATCTTGTCGTGGATATGACTGAGTACAAGCAAGTTGCTCTCTATTGACAGTTCAAAAAGCATAAGATTATGTTTCTCGTACTTACTGCTTTTTTGCCAGTATTTTTCAAAATTGATTTTGTTAGCCTCTCAGTTTTACAGCACTGGAACTGTCCCAGGGGATACCGATTGGGGAATGAAAACTCCACTTGTATAGGTAAGTAAGTGACTTTTACTTTAGACCATTCAAATGTTAAGGGAAGCTGCATTTTTTATCCTCTTACCTGAGTTTCATGTGCTTTTGGTTTTTACGTAATGTGTTTGCGTTACTATGATTGGCTTGATAAATCAACTTGTATGTATTTTTGTTTCCCACAACTAACAGGATTGCTAGTCCTTTATTTTTATACCAAAACTAGCCAATGCCAATTTAGCTATCTGAAAGCATATATATATGTATATATACACACACGCACACATACACACACAGAGTGATACATATATAGACAAATACATATGTCTATATATGTATTATTTGGTGTGTGTGTGTGTGTATATATATATATAGAGAACTTTTTTTAAAGATATCTAGCTTACATCTCATGCTACATGAGTCAAGAACCTATTTGGTATCATATTATGCTAAAAGGCACTGGTAAAAATGGATGTCATGGTAATATTAGTTTCATCTTAGTGAAATTAAGATTTATGAATTGGGAGTCCTTTCTTCTGACAGCCTGAAGTTGAGGACAGAACTTTAAGATTGTGGAAAGGCAGAGCCAGTGCTGTATTGGGCTATATGGCAAGGGAGGGAGGAAAAATTCTGGAAGTTTTCAAGGAAGGAACCCAAATATTAGAAGCTAACCCCTTTCCTTGGTTTTCTAGTGCGTCAGAAGCTCTGACTCAGTTCTTGACAAGATTCCAGTGATTTAATAACAGGTGCCTCTTGGTATGTTCTGCCAAGAAATGGCAACTTGTAAACAGAACACAAAAGCATTCATGCTAAATGTCTTACTGTTAAGAAAAAAGGAGCAAGACATACAAGTACAAGGTATACAAATAATAAACTTACCTGAAGGCTTTTCAGAGACTGAGGTGCATTTCATCACTCCTTTGGGAGTTCAGTATGACGCGTAAACACATTGTATGGGCCTTATTGTGTTCTCACTTACACGAGAATAACCCTATTGAACTAAAGGATGTTTCCTGGGTATAATTTAGAGCAGACGTTGGCCACTGAAGTTTAAAAGTCTATAAAGATGCATTCTTTCTTCTTTTTCTTGCAGTTGACTCAGTTGCACCTTTACTTTATATTTATTAATCTCCAGAAAAGTGAGAAATGCTTTGCTATCTCCTCTTCTTTTCTATAGAGAATGAGACACACTCCATTCTATTTTTCATACTGTACTTGGAGAGATTTCTTTTTTAAACACCTCAACCACCAGAGCAGCTGGCGAGTAGCTCAGCAAGACACTGAGGAAATAGTCATACAATCTGTAGCTATAAAGTAACCTGGTAGAAATATGTATTTTTTGCAATAGCTAAGCCTACGAGTAGATTATGTGATCACGGGTGTTGTATGATGTCAAGTAACATGTTGCTGTTCAGAGTATATGGAAATTGAAATGAAATGGGCTGGAATCTGCGCTCAGTTATAGCCTATTGGGGTTGCGTGGGTGTTATTGAGGGCAGAATTTGGCACAGCGCATAGTAGTGAAGAACAACACTTATGTGGAATGGCTTTTGATCTTTTAAATCCCTCTCTTTATTTTCTTCTGACACAAGATTTCAGTTATGTGACTGTAGAACTGTTAATGTTTGAGTCCCTGCAATAATTACACGAATCTGATTAGCAAATAAAAGGTGCTGTGCAAACATGTGCCGGGAAGCTGAGGGCGGGTGCTGAAGGCAACTGAGGGGACAAATGTGGAGAGTGGGTCTCATGACTCATACTGGCAAACTGTGAACAATGACAATGCTAGATAGAACTTGACAAACATCTTTGTCATCTGTAGGTCATAACAAATATACCGGTTATTAATCAGTGCTACTGACATTGTCTGTTTTCCTGTTAACGTATCAGCATCACATCAGCCATAAAGGCCTTCACCAAAATGAGAAGGCAACAACTCTATAATTAGTGCTTTTTGCAACAGCTCTCTCTTTATCAGAAAGAACACAGGCTTTTCTAGATTTGTTGTTAAATTTTATTACTACTGATTCGGGGCTAGCTTGGGATAGCCTTATTCACACTGTAGTACTTTACTCCTTGAATTGTTTCATTGATTTCAAGGGATGTTCAAAGATCAAGGTGCTACTTATTGTAAAGTTATCATAATCTGGCCCTAAATATTTTAAAATAGCTTTGTAAGGCAGTTTATTTGAATCCACCAAATCAATGAATGGCCCTGCCCCCTCAAGTGAGGGAGGGGCCACAGAACCCAGAACTCCATAGATTATTGGGAACAAGCAATAAAAAACCAGGGAGACCAAAACAAGGGCTTATTCGGTCCCTGGACCAAATCTTCTGAACTGTAGGGGAGGAAGAGGATGTTATATACTTTATTCTGTAATTATAAAATTATATCACCATTTACAAAAAATTAATGGTTTTACGCCCTGAACCCTTGTGGGTAGGGAAGCACCTAGTCAGACTGCAGGACTGGGGCTTTAGTTACCAGTTGGTAACTCATCTCTCTCTCTCCTAGATCTTAGTGAATACATGTAAACTTTCACCTGTACAGGAAAAGCAGTTTCAGCCATACAGGCGTTGTGCTCCTTTGTACCACAGTCAGAATGCATACCCAGTGTCAGGTTTCTAGAGGAGCTTTACTTCCCAGCACAGTAGACGATCATTTACCTGCATCACTCATATTTTTGAAAGAGCTGTAGTACATATGCTACTACAGTTGTTTGCTTATGTTTAGTAACCTTCTGCCAGCCATGCTAGTTAAACATTTTGCCTTCATAATGCATGATAGGACATTTGATGGGAATCTTGAAAATACTCAACAGAAGATATTTTCCACAGGGGTCTTATCCAAATCTCATTGAAGTCAACTGAAAGACTCCCACTGACTTCAGTGGGCATTGGATCAGGCTTTATATGAATAAATACCATCTTTATGGATTAAAATTTGCAGCATCGTTGAAAATTGAGGTATGAACAAGAAGTAACCAGGAAATATTGACAAAGTGTCCTGTGGCACCTTATAGACTAACAGAAGTATTGGAGCATAAGCTTTCATGGGTGAATACCCACTTCGTCAGACGCAGTGGGTATTCACCCACGAAAGCTTATGCTCCAATACTTCTGTTAGTTTATAAGGTGCCACAGGACACTTTGTTGCTTTTTACAGATCCAGACTAACATGGCTACCTCTCTAATACAGGAAATATTGGAAACTAATATCACATCTCTCATGGGGCCTTCTCCTGGAAGGTGCCAAGTGCTCTCAACTCGCATTGACTTCAAGGATAACATTTCTTGTCTAAAGGAACTTTGGATGGTGTTTTACTAGGGACAGGTAAGTCAGACTGATAGAATGAAGCTATCTTAGCTTTCCTTATCAGTATTTTGTTTGGTGAGGACTAGCAGGCATTAGTGTTGTGTCCAGTTTTATGTTAAGATTTTCAGAAGTGGACAGTGATTTTGGGTGCCTCAGATTTTAGGTGTCTAGCTTGACACACTTTTAAAAAGGCCTGATTTTCAGAAAATGCTGAGCTCTTTCAAAAAGGGGCAAAAATAACAATGAGATTTACCTTGGAAAAAGGCAAGCTAATAATAATAATAAAATTAAGAATGCGTTCAGTAACAGAGAAATAAGGGAAGTAATGATTATTGGGTGAAATTTTTCAGACAAAAATTTTTTTTGAAGAAAAATGCAGATTCAGGTTGACTGAAACATTTAGTGAATTCTTGCTGAATTTGCCAAATTGTTTTGGTCAAAAATTTTTTTTTTTAAATTGACACAATTTGTTTCAGTGTTTTTGAAATTAAGTATTTTGATTCAGAATAACTTTTTTGTTTTAGAATGGTAGTTCAATTTTATTTTAAAAAATAAACCCTCAAAAATAAACCTGCATTTTGGGTTGTATGAAATGTTTTTTGTTTGACGCCAAACAATTTTTTTAAAAACTTTTTTGGCTGGTCAAAACATTTGAAAAAATTTCATTTCATGTTGCCCTGAAATGATTTTTGTAAATTTTTCAGTTCAGCCAGTGATCCAAAAAATTGATTATTTGCATAGCTCTAGTAGAGATGCATCAAAATTGGATGTTTGATTCAGAACACCTGTAAGGACTGTGTATCTGACTCTCTGGATACTAACTTGCCCTTACCATTTGTTTTCCTGATCCAGCCCCAAATTGAAAATAGCCTGTTTGCCAGTTCTGGCACAGACATGGCCACGCTTGAGATTTGGGTCCAAGATTGAAAAAGTTTAATGAGGACAGTTTCTTTCTGTGAGATTTCTGCCATTTTCAGTTGATAGCCCTTAAGAGCAGCTTGAGAGATTTTGCACCATTGACACTCAGCCCAAAATCTGATTCAGTTTCATACCCAAACCTAAGCTTAAATTCACTCTGCTTTCAGATCCAAAGGCCACCTCCTTGGCCTTACTCCACTGAAAAAGTCCAAGGATCGATAATCTCTGTATCATACTTACATGGCTCCTGTTATCATAGTATATCAGAACCTTCTGATCTTTAATATATTTATCCTCACAACACTCCTGTGAGGTAGGGCAGTGCTGTTATATCCCAGTTTTACAGATGGGGGCCTGCGGCACACAGAGACTTAGTGACTTGTCTATGGTCACACAAATAGTCTATTGCAGAGCAATATAATATATGCATGTAGTATAAATGCATTAAACCTGGGTCTCCCTGGTTCCAGACTAGCACCCTACCACTGGACCATCCTTCCTTCTGGGAGCAATGGACAGGTGATATACATGTTTGCAATTATTATTATAACAAAATCAGGATTCCTGTAAGTGTGCTAGGTGCTTTAATGGAAAAGATATAAGCTCATAGGGGCAAGAATCACCAAGGTATTGCTCATGTCTCTTAGATTGGCCACAAGTACTTTATTGCTGTGGGTGCTGTAGTAGATGCAGTCTAGATGTAAAGTTAGCAGAACTATCAAGCTTATCACAGCTCACTGTGTTATTGCATATCTTTGGAATAGCCTTGGACATATGGTGTGTCTGTCAA